CATACAACTACTACACTGTCAGCATAAACAGATGAACATGTAAAGGATATTTCATACGACTTCTTCTTGTGTCTTCAACAGTTGGCAAATCTTCCAAATATCTTTCAAGTGTGTCATTTCTATTCTTCAATTTATCATATTTATCATTAAAAAGTTGGAACTTATTTGTCCATTCATCAAGCTGTTCTTCTTTTTCATTTATCTAAGATATACACATAAATAATGACTATATACCAATTAATAAACAATTATATCATATATACATGTCATGTTACTGTACTTACAATCAATGAATGAACAGGTGAACAAGGAGAGGTCAACATAAATAAAGTCAGAATTATTTTTCACCTGTTTTTGGAGCAGATCAGCTTCTCTCTTTTTTGCCAATGCTAATTGCTTTAAAGCAGTTTGTGTCTCTTCAAGTTCATACTCTGTTTGGCTGTTGAAAAAAAACAGTGCACAATGACATCTCAACATTTTGTTTATTTTAACACAATTCACTGTACATACTGTATACTATATGCTAACAACCGCTTGTCACCAAGATTTAACCTAAGCGTCAGATTAATACAAAAATGACAACAATTTTAGTGTCTTTGAGTTGAATTTATTGCATTTTTATCATTTGTACCTACTTTGAACAAATAGATCAAGACGTATTTGAGAAAAGAGCAAGAGCAGATAAACATGATTTAAATTAAAGAGGCAATAGCCACCTCAAACTAATTTTTGGTTCATTACAAATTTTGTGAATCATATTTTTTTTATTTGCAATTGTATAACTTGTTTAAGACCCAGTATTGATTATGGTCACTTTCTTGTTGTATGGCGGTAAAAACAACATCTAAGAATGATAATAAATTCATAAATTCTGCGCATGGGTAACTTCAGGAAAATATAACAACTGTTTTAGACTGATGTTGACAGACTCAACACAAAAACAATATCAAACATTGTAAAATGCCTGAAAACCTGTAATTAGTATTAACAATGCATAGTCCTTGTGTTGTTTTTACCACTAGCCAAGCTCTGTGTCAGCTCAGTCACATGTCTACCAAAGGGCTTCATGCATCATCAGTATGTCAATGTCAATTTCAATTCAGTATGACTAGAAGTCCATATACTGACACAAAATGTGGCTATTATAATCGCACAGACAGACAGAGAAACTAGCTTGGATACCATTGCATTCAAGTGTACACACTTTCAAGTGGATCAGATGATATAGTGATGATTCAGGTCATGAAACAAAGTTTGAATGAAATTTTCAAGAAGTGGTCAAAGACTAGTTTAAGTATCAGAATTTAGCCATTTTGATTACCAAAAATGCCAGTCAATCATATTTGATCAGATGGCAATTAATATTCAACAATATATGATTGTGCACAACCAAGATTCCTTTACTTAATTGATTTTCATGAATCAGACAGAGAAACGAATGGACCAGCATTTGTCTCCCAAGATGTATATGATCAGTCCAGATATGTCTAAGATACATAAGTTTGTACTGCATTCCAGCAAGGAGTGAACATATTCAAGACTGGATTAGTTGAGGTCGACCTACCCAAGTCGTGTACTCATTTGATGTATATCTGTATTCTGACTTGACGCTAACTCAGCTATGTGAGCTTTCAATGCAGCAGTTTCATACTGGTATTCTTGCATCTTTATAACTTCATCACCATGGTTAAGACCAACCATCTGCAATCTGCCTGATTCTCTTTTTCTCAACTCTTCTTGCATGTGATGGATCTGCATCTTTTGCCTGAAAAAGACAATGTTATTTTTGTAAATCTTGTGTTTAAACGATATATTAAGAGATATACTTTCTTTGTAGGCCTTATATATCAAATGCAATAATTACGGTATTGGTAATACATTACCATTAGCATTTCCATAGATTCTGTTGGGATTGAGTTTCCAGAACCTTAGGGCATCACCAGGGCCACTGAATTGCACATGTAATTTTCTGACAGTCCTTTTAATTGATCAAAATTTTATGTGACATATTCTCCATACAATCTGTCTGCAATGTGCAACTTGGACTACTTCTTTCTAAATTTATGTCATGATCCTTTAATACCCGCTGCCAATGCGTTCAAGCAAACATGCAACATTTCATACAGGATTTACAAGCCATGCATGCCACAGTCCGCCATAGTTATCAAATTTAAGAAATATAGTAATATTGTTTATAGTAATATAGTTCGAACATAAACATGTCAGAAGTATGGATCCAGAAGATGATGCTTGATTATGATCATTTTTTAACATTAAAATGATTGACATCTTGTATCTGATCATCAAATGAGGCCTTGTCAATATTGAGAAATATTGCTCTGGAACAGCATTAATTAAAACAAAATTGCCACCAGTCGGTCATTTTGAATACATTATATATCTATAACATGATGTAAAACGAATATATGAAATTTGAACATAATCAGTCAAAGCATGTCAAGAGATATGGCTCTAGAAGTGCATTCATTTAAACAAAATGGCCACCAGTCAGTCATTTTGAATCCGATCTGAGAAAATAAAATGATGTGCATCAAGGTCCCACAATGTCCAACGTATGTACCAAGTTTTAAGAACATCCATCCATAAACACCAAGATCCAGTTCTGGAATGCCAGAAATGCTTGATTTTTGATGACAGACAGACGCACACACAGACGCACAGACGCACGCACGCATGGATACATGGACCACAAAGGTCAAAACACAAGTCCCAGTTTTCGGACTGCGTCCAAATAGAGACTAAAAACTATAGTTCAGATTTGTGTACCACAGGGTGATGTTTGCTGGTATTATATTGATTATATGTGGTTGTTAGTGGCTTATTAATGTTTTATTTGTTTTTTATTGTCTACTTCTTTTATCTACGTCCTTATCGTTTCATTTTTCTACTTATCAGTATTTTTGTTTTTTCCCATGAATATACATGTATGGTAATTTGGCCCAGAAACACCTGTGGCTGGTGTAAATTAAACTGTCATAGTATATGGCCGTAGCTCTTAAAGTTGAAATTGCTTCCTTTAACTGTAATGGTACAGCCAATTCATTAAAAAGACGGGAAATGTTTACTTGGATGAGGAATAAACCTCATAATATATTTTGTTTGCAAGAAACACACTCTTTATTGGACCAAGAATGTCTTTGAAATTCTGAATGGGGCAAGGATATAATTTTCAATCACGGTACAGGAAACCAACGTGGTGTGGCTATTTTTATAAAGAATAATTTATCTTACGTTATTCATAATCGGAGAAGTGGCCAAGATGGGAAATGGATTATGATCGAAATGACAGTTGATTGCTTACGTTTTACCATAGTATGTTTATATGCTCCAAATAATGACAAGGCAAATTTTATAGATAACATTATTTCTAATTTTGGCGATTTTTGCGATTCTATGGAAATAATTATCTGTGGAGATTTCAATAGTCCAAATCGAAATAGTTGACAGGGCGGGTAACACAGGGCAAGAAATAAAATTCAACAATTAATGTTAACATTTAGTTGATGTTTTGCGACTGCACAATCCAGATGTTAGACGATATACTTGGAGGAGGGGTAAACAAGCTAGAAGAATTGATTATATCCTGGTACCTTTTTCACTTGTATCCAAAATTACTATGGCAACAATTGGAGAGAGTTTTCACTCAGATCATTGTTTAATTAGTATTGGTGTCGAAACCAGTACGTTTCAACGAGGGAAAGGGTATTGGCATTTTAACACTTCCTTGTTGAGTGATGATAAATTTGTGAATCAGTCTAAACAATTTATTACCAAATTTTTTCGATAACAATATTGGAACTGCAAATCCTCATTATGCATGGACTTGTTTAAGTGTGCTTTAAGGGGTCATTGTATAAAGTTTGGTTCAATTAAGAAAAAAGATATAAAGAAAAGGAAAACTCGCTACTCATCAATAAGCTACAACGTTTGATTGATTCCACTGATAGCCCATCCACTTATAATTTACAACAACAGGAGGAACTTGAATTATTGTATTCTGAAAAAAACTGCTGGTGCAATGATTCGTTCTAAAGTTTGCTAGTCTTTGAAAGGTGAACGCCCTAATAAATACTTTTTAAATTTGGTGCATAGGAATTATTCACGTAAAAATGTAACTAGATTGATTTTGTCCGATGACACGGTATTATCTAATCCTGGTGATATCTTGAAGGAGGAAGTAAAATTCTATGCTAATTTATACTCTTATAACGGTGCTGAATCGCTGAATAACAACCAGAATGATAGTTTCTATCCACACAATTATAAACCATGTTTGGACGAAAAGAGGCAATTACTATGTGAAGGCTCCATTACACCAGCTGAGCTTTTGAATGCTATTCAATCTTTTCCAAATGGAAAATCGCCAGGTTTAGATGGTATTCCCATCAAAATATATAAAACGTTTTATCCACAGCTGTGTAGTCATATAATACAATGTTTCAATTATTCGATTGAGTGTGGAAGAATGTCACTTTCTCAGAGAGAGGGACTTTTAACATTGCTTTTAAAACAGAACCCTCAGAGGCATGATAAAGACCCAACTCTTTTAAAAAAT